TTCAATTAAATAAGAAAAAAACAACAACACCAATTTGAAATGTACCCCCCACTGAGCACAGCAGTATGTTTGCGGACTGACAACGCTAGAATCCGAGTTTCGATACCAGTGGTGGGCAGAGCACAGATAGCCCATTGTATAGCTTTGTGCTTAATTACAAACAAAATTTTGAAATTTCTTATTTTATTAGCCTGGGGGTTATGGCGTTCGACTCGTAATCTGCGGGTCGCGGGTTCGAATCCCCGTCCCACCAAACATGCTCGTTCTTTCAGCCGTGGGAGGCGTTATAATGTTACGGTCAATCCCACAATTCGTTGGTAAAAGAGTAGCCCAAAAGTTGGCGGTGGGTGGTGATGACTAGCTGCCTTCCCTCTAGTCTTACACTGCTAAATTAGGGACGGCTAGCGCAGATAGCCCTCGTGTAGCTTTGCGCGAAAACCGTAACAAATAATCGCTTTTCGACTGTACATCAGTTTGTTAAGTTGAATCCTTCCCTCAACCTTTTCATAGATCATTCTTAATTCTGGTCTTAATTCTTAATTAATAATTCAATTGAAGAAACGGAGTTGAAGTCAGATGGCAGTGTGAAAGTGTTATTCATTTTTCGATTCCAAACTCAGATTATTTTTACTTAGTTAAATTATTTGTTATAACTCAGACGACAGTGCATGACTCGACGGTAGCACCAGCTTTCAACGGTTTTTGTTTTAATGTCAAACAGAAAGAACAAAAAAAAAATAACACTAGATTAGAAGCTACGTTGCGATAATAGTAAACTGTATCTTTTCTAAAAGAGTTAGATCTGAATGTAGAGTCCCCAAAGAGGGGCGGGCAGTAAACTACCTATCAGATTTTAACCTTTTTTTTTTTTTCAAAATTCGTATGTGCAAATGAAGCTAAAACTACAAAAATAGTTTTTTTTTGTTTAGTTAAGCACAAAGTTACACATTGGGATATCTGTGCTCTTCCCACCACGGGTATTGAAACCAGGTTTCTAGCGTTGTAAGTCCGCAGACATACCGCTGTGCCACTTTACGAAAATAGAATTTAACATTTAAGAATTTAAGCTTTAGTATACTCTATCTTTTATTAATATACCGGGTGAATTTGTTCTTACCATTTGATGGCTCAGAGGTACGCCTGAGAGCTTATAAGGCTATAATTCCAGTTCAATACCCGCCGTGGACACAGCACATATAGCCCATTGTATAGATTCCGCTTAAAAAAGAATTTAAAAAAATATACTAATTCTCTTTCAGGTTTTATGTTACTTCCTCTCCAATTGAGAAAAAACTTTCTGGGGCTTAATTTCACATCTATGTGTAATACCAGACTGGTTTTGTTACACGATAAGAAACATTTTCTGTTGAAGGGATGTCATCGTTATACACGTGACAGTCTAGCCTATTGAATTTTCTTTACTCTCGTACTTCACAGTTACATCTTCATTTCAGAGTTTCATTGCTGTTATGTTATTTTATCTACTCTCACGATTCTCTCAGTTTTACTGGTAATTTTCTTTCTGACACCTTAGAGAAAATGAGCGCTTCAGAGATGACACAGCTTTAATTATGTCTTATTTTGTGATTTTTTTCTATTGATGAATGATGATAATCGTAATGAGCATAAATTTTAGCACCTCCTTACTAACTATAAACTATTTATTTTTACAATATTTAATCCAATGTTTCCAGTAAAACGTTTTAGCTAATGAACTACAGATTAAGATGTAAGTACAAGTTTTATCTTGCCCCTTAGCGGTTCATCGGAAAGGCTAATAAGTTTCGATACCTTTGGTGAGTACAGCACAGATAGTCCATTGTATAGCTGTGTGCATAACTATAAACAAACGTGTTTCATTCACTTGAAATTAAAGCCGTATATAATGTTAATAAATAGCGTTTGGTGATAACTGTTTGTTTAATACAAATATATAAATCTCGTTTTCACTTAGCCCCCTGTTAAGATTCAGGGTTCGATTTTCCGCGGAGGTCAAAGTGCAGATAACCCATTGTGTAGTTTTATGACAAAAACGGTCCCCCGACGAGACAGCGGTAAGTCTTCGGATTTACAATGCTAAAATCAGAGGTTCCATTCTCCTCCGTGGACACAGCAGATAACCCGATGCGGCTTTGCTAAAAGAAAACACACACACACACACACGAACAACATTCACATAAAAACAAACAAATTGTAAAGCTAGATTTAACCCTAAAGAACAAAAAAAAAACAAATTGATGGATTTATAAAGCTAGATTTAACCCTATCTTGCAAGAAAAATTAGAACTTTATTAATTGGTTATTAATAAAACTACGCCTGACAGTGAAGTCGTGCCCATAGGTCATGGGTGGGTCCGACCTACCCCCCCCCCCTTCCTTCAGCTGCTTTCCATACACTGTTTTAATAATTCCAAATCTGTGTACAGACATTTTATTAAATGTTTGTATTGGAAACCAACAAGTCAATCCAAGTAATAACGGAAATAACGGACTGTGTAACCCCCCCCCCCTAAAAAAAGTTAGCCGCGTGACGTCACTGATGCCTGATGTGACATTTTCTCAACAAGTTGACAGTTGTACCCACGTAGTAAGTTCTGTCACAGAGGATTGTTGAAACGGTTCGTTCACCTGACGAAGGGTGTGGTGGCTAGGGGACGCTCAACTCGCAATCTGCGGATCGCGGGTTCGAATCCCAATGACCGAACATGCTAGCTCTTTCAGACGTGGGGGGGTGTTATAATGTTTCAGTCAATCTCACTATTCGTTGGTAAAAGAGTAGCCCAAGAGTTGGCGGTGGGTGGTGCCTTCCTTTTAGCCTATCACTGCTGCATTAGAGACGGTTAATGCAAATAGCCCTGGAGTAGCTTTGAGTGAAATTCAAAAAATGAAACAAGGAAACACATGATGAATTCTTAGAGCCTGTTTTTCTTTTTAGACGCTACATGCTTACTCTACCAGGTATATGAATGATTAAATTGCTCGAATTAAATCTGACTCTCTTTAGTTTTATTCGTCAAAAGGAATTTAGTTAATGATCACTTTATTTCTTCGTAGCGAACAATTAAAAACAATTATTAATTGAATTAATTTCACGAGTAGAAGAGGAAGAACGCAATTAGTAAATTCGTAGAACACGTCAGGAATTTTTTGTATTTGTTTCAGTTTCGTTTTTTTAATATCTTTTATTCTAAACGATGAACTTGTATTTCCATACTAGTCTTATTTCGTGCTGGTAAGAATTATCTGTTCAACTTCGTAATGCACTAATCAATACAGACACTCTTTGGGGATATACGTTCATTTCATTAGTTTGATGTCGAGAGTACATAAATCTATATCCTATGAATGACTTAAAGTATGGAGGAAAAGTTAGAAAGCAAATAAAATAGATGCGATTAAAATTAATTATAACAACTCGAATGAGAGAAGGAAGAAGAACTCAGATGGAAAAAAGATCGAGGAACAAGATGAATGAAAGAAAACAAAAAGATGATATAAAGTTTTGAAGATCAGCAACAAGAATAAACGAACTGAATAATACAGAACCGAAAAAAAGAATGACGTAATAATGAACGAAAATTAGGAACAATGTGAAGATTCGAGAAGGAAAAAGAATGATTGGTATAGATATGAAAGAATAAATCACAAGAATGAAAGATTTAAAGAATAAAGAAACAAAAAGATTGGTATAGATATGAAAGAATAAATCACAAAAATGAAATATTTGAAGAATGAAGAAACAAAAAATTGGTATAAATATGAAAGAATGATTCACAAGAATGATAGATTTAAAGAATAAAGAAACAAAAAGGTTGGTATAAATATGAAAGAATAAATCACAAGAATGAAAGATTTGAAGAATGGAGAAACAAAGCGGATGATATAAATATAAAAGAATAAATTACAAGAATGAAAGATTTGAAGAATAAAGAAACAAAAAGGTTGGTATAAATATGAAAGAATAAATCACAAGAATGAAAGATTTGAAGAATAAAGAAACAAAAAGGTTGGTATAAATATGAAAGAATAAATCACAAGAATGAAAGATTTGAAGAATGAAGAAACAAAAAGGTTGGTATAAATATGAAAGAATAAATCACAACAATGAAAGATTTGAAGAATGAAGAAACAAAAAGGCTGGTATAAATATGAAAGAATAAATCACAAGAATGAAAGATTTGAAGAATGAAGAAACAAAAAGGTTGGTATAAATATGAAAGAATAAATCACAAGAATGAAAGATTTGAAGAATGAAGAAACAAAAAGGATGATATAAATATGAAAGAATGAGTGACAAGGATGGACGACGATTTAAGAAAAGAAATACATAAAAAAGTAGAGGAAGAAGAATGAGAGATCGAGTTTTTACGAAAATGATAAATAAAAAATGGCGAGAAGTTCTCTCATCTTTCTAAAGTGTTTTTATATTTATTATTAGGTTGCTAATAACTCATACAAAGGAGCAGCATGGATGACGTTTATTAAAGTGATGGCAAATTATCACTGTTGTTCGCTCAACGATTTCTTACTTTTTAAGAGAATAAAGACTGCAAATTTTAAACACATTTCATTATTCTTGAAAGTGATTAAATCTCGTGATATTTTTTTAGGTAAGTAGAAGAAAAGACATCTGGCACGCTAAGAAACGTAATAAGGTTCTATGGGAACATTTCAGTTATTCTTGTGCTAATCAATTTTTGTGAACGGTACGTTACTCCTATACGCTGAAGCTTTTTTTTTCCTATTTCCAATAACTCTTCAGCGTATGAAATCAATTTATTCCTCATTTCTTTTCATGGAGATTGGATGGGAAAAATTTGGTTTGCAATAAGAAAGGTTCTTCGTCCATCGCTATCTTTTTTATCTTGGCCTTTACATTATCGAGTGCAACCGTCATATTTGTTTGAAATGATACAAACTGCGCATGCTCCCCGTGTAGCTATTTGAGAAACTCTCAACGCCTTGATCTCGGCGCGACATAATCACGTTGTGGCCTGACTACGTGATACATGAACGTCTGTTATTTAGGTTTAAGTTCTGAATAGAAAAGCACTGCGAACAGGGAATTAGGACAACTAAAATTTCGTCTATATTGAAATAAGGGTAACCGACAACTTGTGATCCACATTGAAAATCAACTGTTTTACATTCCACCGCGGACCGACAAGATACGCGGAAATAGGTTAGGGGGTATCTCGGCAGCCAGGCTTCGATACTCTGCGCTGATCTCTTAAAAAGCTTCTTCATTTCCAACTCCCACTCCGATGCCTGGAAAGAAGACTACGGGTAAGAATTAATATACATCCTTATCTTCAAAACGATAAACCAGTTTAATCTCTGCAGTAGTAACTGTTACCCTTTAATATCTAATATACTGGGTGTATGTATACCCACATACCGATTTTACAAGTCGAACTCGTATAACTTCAAAAATATTCTTGATTTCGTTTGGAAATTGACCATAACCCTACAGGATACTTAATGCTACGTGATGCAACTGAAATACCTCCTCATGCAGGCTTGTATTATAGTTGTGTTCTTCAGAATAGCGCATTTCCTTGTCAGCTAATGTTACTGGTAAGTAGTATTTAGGCTCAATCTCTTTCACGGTTATCTAAAAAAAAATAATCTACAACTTCCAGATCTCTATACTAGAGATTAAAGATGGAGAGAGAGAGGCAACCATGATCGTATTATAGAAAATAGACAGAATAAAGACTACTGCTCCTTTAACAACATTAGACCAGTGGCGTAAGTAAGACCAGAAGGGCCTGACACACTTAAGAATTTCTGACAATGGGAGAGACATACAGTTTAATTTGTTTGAACTATAAGGTAGTTGTACTATTCTGTTAAGTTAATGATATTAATCAGCCAGAATCGTAACTACAATTATAAGGAAATAAATGTGGAGGTGGGGGGAGGGTTCATATTTGGTAGTTACGCCACTCCTTGAGACCGGTCTCATTTCTGAACTGCAATAAAGTTTTTCCTTGCTTAATAAGAAACTCTTGTAACGAAATAAAATGTAAAAGAAAATTTTTTTAAGGTGCATAATTCTATTTTAAAGTAACAAAATCACAAAAGCATATGCACACTTAGATGATAAGTACATTTGATAGCATGTTTAATAGGAGTAAAGAAATATGATAACCCAATTGTTTAATAGAAGTAAAGAAATATGGTAACCCAATTGTTTAATAGGAGTAAAGAAATATGGTAACCCAGTTGTTTAATAGAAGTAAAGAAATGTGGTAACCCAATTGTTTAATAGAGGTAAAGAAATGTGGTAACCCAATTGCTTAATAGGAGTAAAGAAATATGGTAACCCATTTGTTTAATAGGTGTAAAGAAATATGGTAACCCAATTGTTTAATAGAAGTAAAGAAATATGGTAACCCAATTGCTTAATAGGAGTAAAGAAATATGGTAACCCAATTGTTTAATAGGAGTAAAGAAATATGGTAACTTAATTGTTTAATAGAAGTAAAGAAATATGGTAACCACATTGTTTTAATGTAATGAAATACGGTAACCACATTGTTTAATGAAATGAAATATGGTAACCACATTAATTAATGAAGTGAAATATGGTAACCACATTGTATAATGAAATGAAATGTGGTTACCACAATGATTCATGAAGTGAAATATGGTAACCACATTGATTAATGAAGTGTAGTATGGTAACCACATTGATTAATGAGGTGAAATGTGGTTACCACATTGTTTAATGAAATGAAATGTGGTTACCACATTGATTAATGAAATGAAATGTGGTTACCACATTAATTAATGAAGTGAAATATGGTAACCACATTGATTAATGAAGTGAAATATGGTAACCACATTGATTAATGAAGTGAAATGTGGTAACCACATTGATTAATGAAGTGAAATATGGTAACCACATTGATTAATGAAGTGTAGTATGGTAACCACATTGATTAATGAGGTGAAATGTGGTTACCACATTGTTTAATGAAATGAAATATGGTAACCACATTGTTTAATGAAATGAAATGTGGTAACCAGAATGTTCTCTTTCTTCTCTTAACCCACATGACTCAGATGGAATAATTTTGATATATTTCGGATATTTGTGCAAAGCTACACAAGGACTATCTGTGGTAACCGTCCCTAATCTTCAACTGTTTGTGTTAGATTACAGAGAAGACAGCTAGTCAACAACACCCATCTCTAACGCTTGGGCTACTCTGAGCAAATAATGGAATTTGACTGTCACGTTTATAACCATCCCATGGGCCCCGAAGTGGAGAGCGAGATTTTGTGGCAACTGCGTGCGTACCAGGGATCCTCGGTTCCATAATCCGGTACGCTATTTGGCCACGCATAATCAGTCGGGTTAAGAGCTAATAATATACTTCAATTTGGTTGAGCGAGTTTAGTAAATGCAGACGTAATTCCGTCTTCAAAATCAACACAAATACGTTTTCTTATTTCCGGTTGCAGAGAAACATCGAAGTTAGTTCGAAATTTCGTCACATAGTTGATCACTTATGGCGTGACATAAAAAGGCTAAAAGTTCGTTTTCAGTTTGCTGGATATCATTTAGTACACGGCGTTCATAGTTGAGAAACTGTAAAGAGCGGATTATTTGGTTGTAAAATCGTAACGTTTCGGTAAATTGCGCGAGATAACCAGGACGAGAGCGAATAGCTCGCTCAAGATCTTGTCAAACAGTCACTATATTGTGTTTGTTATGGCGTCGTGTTCACTCGTTATAGAATTTTGATGTACTGGTTGAGATGACATGATCAGATAATTTCGTTCATGCTTCAAATGCCTTCTGGAAGCATGTTATATCTACGTGCTATATTTGCTGAAGTTTTGAATGGACAAGATAAACATTCACTAACTTATACTTCTTCAGTCGCCTCGTTACGTAAGTACACCTGTTTACCACCTTTAACAAACTGGGAACTTATGACGCTGAAAATCGGGTTTCAATACCCGTGGTGGGCACAGCACAGATTGCCCATTTTTATAGCTTTATGCTTAACAACAAACAAACTAAAACTACCTTAATAAAGTGGTTTACCAGGCCTGTGGGCTTATAACGCTCAAAACTGGGTTTCGATACCCGTGTTATGCACATCACAGATAGTCCATTGTGTAGCTTTGTGCTTAAAAACAAACAAACAAAAGCTACTTTAATAAAGTGGTTTGCCGATAGACCCCAACCCCAGTGGAACAACAACAAGTCTGTAGGCGTATTACACTAAAAACCGGGTTTCAATACCCGTGGTGGGCACAGCACAGATTGCCCAAACAAAAACTGCCTTAATAAAGTGACTTATAAGTCGGCACAGAACTTCCTTGTGGCACGTTTTAGACAACTAATACCGCCTTAAATATATCGTAATGAGTTTCATCTCTAGGAAAAACGTTGTATACGCAACTCGAAAAATAACAGATACATGCGTTTCTTAAGTTCCAACGTTCTTTTAAAATAGTCACCTGTGGTATAACTCCGCTTTCAGAGTTATTCCACATATTTCGGCTCGTTCACTGTAGATAAAGCGTATTCTTATGACAAAATTACTTTGAAAGTGGGCAGTATCGTCTCGTGAATATATATATATATATATATATGTTTTCTTACAATGATCTCAGTCCACTTAAAACCATATATCTGGCCTTGTTAAACAAATTCAGCGCCCTCTGCTGACAAGTACTAACTTCGTATACACGGGGAATGAATTCGGGATTTCTACAAACGATAGAAGTATGCGAACAGAATTTGATAAACGAATTTGATACTTGTAATTTCCTTCGTTTTATAATATGCCCCTTCTGTGCTTTCATTGATACTCTACTGTTAGAGTAGACTAACATGGAAGGTAAAAAATAAAAAAAATTGAAAATTCAGTGATATTATTGGTTACAGTTCTAAGATAATTTAAAGTATTATTATTATTATTATTACTATTCGTTTATTATTATTATTGATATTTACACGCTTGCATGTTAATTTGCATTGTTAGCTCAGGATATGAATTCTCTAAATCTCCTGAGCTGTCCTAACTTCGTGAGACATTATTGGGTTTACGGCCAAAAGGATGAATATCGAGGGCACTCAACTGATGAATCAGCGAATTCTAATCATTACAGATTTGAGTTCTCCTGGAGTATTGATTGATTGATAACATTAAATACTTCAAGTCAGTTTGGTAAATAGCTTTGACTTCATTAATTTATAAGTTTTTTTTTTAATTTCTGATGTACAAAGTTAGCATAGTTTTTAATCAGAAGTTTTTGAAAATATGTAAACTATTTGTTAAATCTTTTGTTTTATTGCTTCAACTGATGATGTAATATTTATTTTTATGCATAGCTCTACTCTCAGCGCGGTCCAGTGGCTAGCATGCCGGACTGTGGATTTGAGAATCCGTTGCTCAAGTCCCGTTAGCGACAAAAAAAAAGAAAAAGAAGCAAAATTACGATCTGCTCTTTGGAGCCGTGGGTGCGTTGTTAGAATGAAGTTCAAACCGTACTATTCGGTCTGACAAAAGTAGCCAAGGATATTGACGAGCTGCCTAGTCGATCGCTTCAAAATTAGGGATGGCTGATACAGATAACCCTCGAGTTGATTTACGAGAAATTTAACAAATAAACAATTTTTTATTATTATTTTTTTTTTTGTATTAGAGAAATCTAAACGATGAGTGTTGGTTCAGAACAAACTCCCAAACATGTTTTAATGATACCACTAACCTAATAGTATTTACACCATTTTTGCAAACAGGTTAAATAATACATTATGTTACCTTACTGGCGCCAAAACTCCCAGCAGCTGTAGCTCGTTTCCATATTTGGAAAAGTTTTACAGAGAGACAAATAGACAGATAAAATAAATTACGTTTTATGATGATACGTCATTCACGCATCATCGGAGCGCAAAGGTGCTCAGAAGAGTCTTGGAGATGATTAGTTTAGTATAAGTCGGATCATTGTAGTAACGTCATACAATAATTTTCTTCATTAGCCCCATCACGATTAGCTTAAAAATCAATGCTATATCTTTATCCAATTATTTAACAATCTCTATCTGTGTAGGAAAGAAGTTCCATTGCAGTATCTCATTTACAATTAGACCCAGAGCACGTGAATACCTAGAAACACTTTTAATACAAAAGGAATCAAATTAGGCGAGTGTTGCCAACGTTGAAGACGATGAATTCTGGGTTTGTTTATTCTGGTTAATTAAATTAGATACCACAGCAGAATAATACACTTGAAGGTATGTTTCACGTCTTTTATAC